TGTTTAAGGTATCTGACTACCCTAAAATCATGATTTTTTTCAAAAATTGACAATTTTTTTTTTTTTTATGATTTTATTTCATAGGTCATCTTATTAGCTGAATCACTAGAACAAAAACTACAAGTGTTTTAATAAAAGCAAATGCCATACTTTTACACAAGATGTCAAACTTTAAAATGTGTTTTAATCGAAATGCGTTTTTTTTCCGAAGAGCTCAAACGGGGACAGCGATTGCTCAAGTTTTGAAAATAATTTGCTGAAATTTTTTGTGTATGTTCTGCATAACAGTAGAAGTGTTTTGACGTTCAGATTTATCAATCACTGTTTTATTTCAAAATTTACAGTCCTTTATGTGAATATAATCATTTTTTTAAAAGCGATTTCATATAATCACTAAGATAAAGTGCTCTAGTTTTATATTCTGCTAGTTTTATATTCTAGTTTTATATTATAATATTCTGTGTGTGGGCTTATACAAAGCAAAGACATCTCCAGAGAGTTTGAACTAAGATTTGTGAAAAATTCTCATTATTTTCAGAGTTACTACCAATTGAAATAATTATTGGCGTTTTTTTCTTAAAGTTTCTCTCCTTTAAAATAACCTTTTTTCAAAATGTTCTCCTTTTGTGAAAATTGCTTCTATTATATAATATTTTGCCTGTATATAGCTCACATCTCTGTACAGACGCTCAACTATGATTTTTTAAAAATTCACATTATTTTCAGAGTTACCACCAATTGAAACAATCATCGGAGGTTTTTTCTTAAAATTTCTCCCCTCTATTCGTAAAACATAGATAAGCCCACTTCTAAGTAATATATTTCAAAAATTCTAGTTAAACCACTGTTCAGAGGTCTGAGCTATATACAGGCAAAATATTATTATAGAAGCATTTTTCACAAAAGGAGAATATTTTGAAAATGGGTCATTCTATGTTCCTTTTTTGTCAAAATATTTTGTACTTAAATAATTTTTTATTGTAATACTATTCTTAAAACAATTTTATATACATTTTCTAATCTAAGTGGCACTAAATATCATAAATATTATTCATTTATACGCTTTTGCAAAATCCCGGTTCTGAACGTACTCGGATACCTTAAGAGCTGTGTGTATTTGTTTTATTCTACTGTTGTCGTTGCTGTGGCTGTTTGGATCTCGCAAAGTTTTTATATATTCTAAACTTACTTTTCGGAGTAGAGAATTATTAAGTGAGATTTTTTTTTTCAGTTTCTATATATATAAGACATTCGAATGAAGACATGAATTGCCAAGGACTACGAGATATCTGAAACCTTAGACTGCTTATTTTTTTTTTTTTTTCATAATCTCTTTCCCTGAATTTCTGAAACCATCGACGATATGCCCTGTTGTCAATTGCATCTCTTCCCTTACATTTACTGTAATCTGTGGCATGGTACGTTTCAGTGATGTATTTGTTGAAGTGTATAGACAATGTTTCCCGTAAGCTTTACCACGTGCCATGTTGCTTCGTCTTAGATGCATTTACAGAATGATGAACTATCAAAAATACCGTGTATTTATATGCTGGGTATCTGTATGATGTAATGGCTAATGATTCTGGTCATCACAAATCCTCATAGACATTGTTAGAGTGATTGAGTGAGAGAATATTAACGTCGCACGGTTCAGCTACACGAGGGCTTTGGGCGACGGACCTCGTCATTTTGAACCATGGTCAAGTGACGAGGATGACACTTCAGCTGGTGCACCCTCTCCTGACTACCACACCACACCAATGGGTTGAGTTGAGTAGATTTTGATGTTTTATGGCGCAAGAGCCAGTTTTGGCTATACTGCGCCAAACATTCAGAGGTCTGTGGTCTGGACTGGAAAAGAAGAAAAGAAATTGTATGACAAGATGGAGGGTCGAAAATAGAGAAGGATCACTAAGGTACCCCGGGGTCGTGACACCCGGGTTTACCAAAGATACTAAACACCTTGGGAAAAGAAAAAAGATCACTAGGGTACCTCGGGATTGTGACACCCGTACCCACCTAAAGAAGGTGAGCCCCTGAGGGGAGAAAATTATGTACCCATCAGGTTTTGAACCTGGGACCTTCTGCGTGTCAGGCGTATGTGATAACTACTACACAATGGGTACCACACCAACGGGAGGACGTTTCAGCTCTCGACAGATTTAACGTCCATCGCTCCCCTACACGGCGAGTCTTTAGTGGTACTGGGCTCGAACTCATGACATGCCAATCACGATCCGATACCTTGACTACTAGGCTACCGCGGCCCATGGACATTGTTTGGTCAACTGGAAACATACGGTTTTAAAAACACGCAGAGCTTTTGCTCACACTTAATACACGAAGTTGAAGTATTTAATTCAGAGTTCGTCTGAATTTGTTTCAAACCAAAAATAATTAACTCTTACTAAAGTAAACTCTTACTTGGGTCAACAAAGTAAATTTTTATTTTACTTACTTTTTATTAAATAATTAAAATTAATACAAATATGTATGATAGAATCACAATATTAAGTGGCAAAATAGAAAGCGATTTTCCTTTATATATATGGTGTTGGACTATTATTTTTGTTTGTCTCTATTTATTTATTCATAAATCACATTCTCAAAAATTATGCCATCCCAAGTAGGATTCGAACTCA